ATCATGCAGAGCGTGAAGAGCATGCAGGTGCAAAAGCCCGTGCTGCAAACGGCGGTGGCGCCCCAATCTCCATCGAGTGCCTCGGCCAGCAACTCGCCCGTTCACGTGCTGGCCGCTCCACCCTCTTACCCCCAGAAGTCCGCCGCGGTGGTGCAGCAGCAGCAGCAAGCAGCAGCTGCGGCGCACCAGCAGCAGCATCAGCACCAGCAATCCAAACCGCCAACGCCCACAACTCCGCCCTTGGCGGGTCTGAACAGCAAGCCCAACTGCCTGGAGCCACCGTCCTATGCCAAGAGCATGCAGGCCAAGGCGGCCACGGTGGTGCAGCAGCAGCAGCAGCAGGTGCAGGTGCAGGTGCAACAGCAGCAGCAGCAGGTACAGCAGCAGCAGGTGCAACAGCAGCAGCAGCAGCAACACCACCAGCAGCAGCAGCAACTTCAGGCCTTGAGGGTGCTCCAGGCACAGGCGCAGGCGCAAAGGGAGCGAGATCAGCGGGAGCGGGAACGGGATCAGCAGAAGCTGGCCAACGGAAATCCCAGCCGGCAACTGCCTCCGCCGCCGCCCTATCAGAGCAACAACAACAGCGAGATCAAGCCGCCCAGCTGCAACAACAACAACATACAGATAAGCAACAGCAACCTGGCGACGACCCCGCCCATTCCGCCCGCCAAATACAACAACAACTCGTCCAACACGGGCGCCAACAGTTCAGGGGGCAGCAACGGATCCACCAGCACCACTGCCTCCTCATCGAACAGCTGCAAGAAGATCAAGCACGCCTCGCCCATCCCGGAGCGCAAGAAGATCTCCAAGGAGAAGGAGGAGGAGCGCAAGGAGATCCGCATCCGGCACTACTCGCCGCAAGCCTTCAAGTTCTTCATGGAGCAGCACATTGAGAACGTGATCAAATCGTGTCGCCAGCGAACCTATCGCAAGAATCAGCTGGAGAAGGAGATGTCCAAGGTCGGACTGCCCGACCAGACGCAAATTGAGATGAGGAAAATGCTGAACCAAAAGGAGAGCAACTACATTCGATTGAAGCGCGCCAAGATGGACAAGAGCATGTTCATCAAACTGAAGCCCATTGGCGTGGGTGCCTTTGGCGAGGTAACGCTGGTGCGCAAGATCGACACCTCCAACCACTTGTATGCGATGAAAACGCTGCGCAAAGCGGACGTTCTCAAGCGGAATCAGGTGGCCCACGTGAAGGCCGAGAGGGATATCCTCGCGGAAGCGGACAACAACTGGGTGGTGAAGCTGTACTACAGCTTCCAGGACAAGGATAATCTGTACTTTGTGATGGACTACATACCAGGTGAGTGGCAACCTATGTGGTTCTGCTACAGCGGAGCACTGACGCTCGGTGGATTGCCCCGCAGGTGGTGATCTGATGTCGCTGCTCATCAAACTGGGCATTTTCGAGGAGGAGCTGGCCAGATTCTACATCGCCGAGGTCACCTGCGCCGTGGACAGCGTGCACAAGATGGGCTTCATTCACAGGTAATGCAGCAGTTGGCTCGCCAGTTACTCCACGCCAGTTACTATTACTTACTTACTCTTCCACAGAGACATCAAGCCTGACAACATACTCATCGATAGGGACGGACACATAAAGCTCACCGACTTTGGCCTGTGCACGGGATTCCGCTGGACGCACAACTCGAAGTACTACCAGGAGAACGGTGAGTTCGAACCAGCTGACGAATATAATGATGTAACAATGCCAATCCGCCCATCTCAGGCAATCACTCGCGCCAGGACTCGATGGAGCCCTGGGAGGAATACTCCGAGAACGGACCCAAGCCCACCGTGCTGGAGAGGTGAGTTTCGTACACTTAATTAATTGGAGCGGCCGTTAATAAAAGTATGCCGAACTCGCAGGCGACGGATGCGCGATCACCAAAGAGTCCTGGCCCACTCGCTGGTGGGCACCCCGAACTACATAGCTCCCGAGGTGCTGGAGCGGAGTGGGTACACGCAGCTGTGCGACTACTGGAGCGTGGGCGTCATTCTCTACGAGATGCTGGTGGGCCAGCCGCCCTTCCTGGCCAACAGTCCGCTGGAAACGCAACAAAAGGTTCGATCTTAGATCTTCGATCTTCGCTTGCACACCAAAACTGAGTGCCCTAACTTGGCTTGCTCCCCTTACAGGTCATCAACTGGGAGAAGACGCTGCACATCCCGCCGCAGGCCGAGCTGTCCCGGGAAGCCACGGACCTGATAAGGAGGCTTTGTGCGGCGGCTGACAAGCGGCTGGGCAAGAGCGTGGACGAGGTCAAGGGCCACGACTTCTTCAAGGGCATCGACTTTGCGGACATGCGCAAGCAGAAGGCGCCCTACATACCGGAAATCAAACACCCCACGGACACCTCCAACTTTGATCCCGTGGATCCAGAGAAGCTGCGCTCGAACGACTCCAACATGAGCAGCGGCGATGACATCGACCAGAGCGACCGGCCCTTCCACGGGTTTTTCGAATTTACCTTCCGTCGTTTCTTCGACGACAAGCAGCCGCCGGACCTGACGGATGATCAGGCGCCGGTTTACGTCTGAAAAGTGCATCCATATGCCCAAACAAACCCCCCACCCCCAATCATTGTTAGTCAAATAGTCACAAAAAGCCAGGGGAGAGGAGCCATCGAGTGGGATTGCACTGTAAAGAGAGCGTGACTATAGAATGAAACTATATGCATAACATAAATTATAGGAGACGGTAGAGGAGGGAGCTACGTATACACATACAAATAATATATATATATATATATATGCCTTGGGGCATGAACTGAATAAATTTAAAACGGAGCAGAGTAGCGATGGAAGGAGGAGAGCGAGTCAGGAGCTTCGGATTTCCACTGAGCACAGTGTATCCTTCTACTCCAAAACAAACGCTGTAACCTACACATATATTTAAATTGTTAGAAATCACAGGGACCAACTGGAAAAGCGAACCTTGCTGGTGCTCAAAGCAAAACAAAACGCCTTAAACGAGACAAACCAACCCAACGCAACCACTCCTCTCCCTCTTCCACCTCCAGTCGATGGCCGGATTGGAACTCAGCAGGCTGGTTGCATCCGGCCATCCCACGAATCCCATCCAGAATCGAGATTGAGAGGTGTGCGATGGAGAACGGAGACCAAACGTCGCACGGCAGCGATATAAGCGGGTCTTATAAGCCTAATCTAAATCTAATCCAGAGGAACAGGACCTACAATCGGTGTCTTTCTGCCCACCTCGCCTATCACTGCTCTTCCCCTGCGTCTGTCCTCCCCGAAATGAACAAATTAGAAGCGAAATTAGACGTAGCCTATGTGAGAAACCTAGCAATGTTAGACCAACTTGTTGAATGCCAAATGAAATTGTTTAGCCGCACGAGGAAGTGGCGGAAAATGCGGAAAGTGCGGAAAAAGCGGGGAAAATTCAACACTTATTCTCTGATAGCAAACGGAAAACAGAAAACAGAAAACACAAAACAACACGAGGAGATCCGAGCAAATTGTAATCTTTCTAATGTAATATTGTAAAGAACACGTTAATTGTAATCTATGCTAAAGTTGTGTAGCGCCCTAAGATGTTTTTTAGTTTATAGACAACGCTAACCGTAATCTAGTTTAATTCCTAACACTAAGCGCGAGTACATCGGTTTTTTTGTTTGTCGTAGGTTCGTTGGAAAATGCTTGACGGAAAACGATTTGTTTTTCTTTTTAATTAGCTGCAGTTTGTATGTGCGTGTGTTTTTATTATGAATTATATGCATCCATCTAAGTATACGTTGGTGGAGCCTATTTTAAATGTGAGATCGAGCTGATTGAGGGAAAATACAAACAAACTCTGTGTGCCTTGGCCAATTAGTTTACTAAAGCAAATTAATAAATGGAAAAGAAAATGTATGCCAGACGCGTCCGTTTTTATATAAAGGCTAAAGGTATTTTTCCAAGTGTAGCGGAAATTTTACATTTACGTTAACATGAGTAACATTAACAGCGATACGTGGCGCCATCTAGTAGACACAGTGTGTACTATAGTGACTCGATAGCAGCTTCGATTGTTCTTGACCTTAATCGATTAATCTGCCACCGACATGGTCACACTGTGCCTTGAAAGGCGCACTTTTTAAACTTGTATAAACTCGCAATTCCCGTTTAGAATTGAAATGTAATTCATTTCGGTAATCGCCTTTGAAAATAAGGATGGTTTTTCCTTCCCCCCGGTAAGCCCCGCAAATAACAAAGAGCTGCGCTTAAATTTTAATAATTTTTTTTATTATTTTCACATTGTAAATTTAATAATTATAATAATTGTTTGTAAATTTATCAAGACAAAATTGTTTTATTCATTTATATGAATGCGTTTTTATCCACGTGGCTTAATTTGATTAAAATACATTTATGCGTAATATTTGAAATATAAGTTACTTGAATCGCTTCCATTCGCTTACTTCATTCGGATGTTTGGCGCAGTTTTATTTTGTTTGGTGTTCTCTGACGAGCAATAAAATGAACATTTGATGCCGTTTCAACGAGGTGCTTAACTTAGGGATCGCTATTGTTGGACATACGTTAAAACATAAAACAAATAATACAAGTGTGCTGCACTTCCTGCTCCGCATATTTACACATAGAGTGAGGCGAACAACTTTAACAGACAGCGGGGGATTGGAAAATGGGGGTAGCGTATTTAAATAACTAACAATTGTTTATGTACGTGAGTGTTATGTAGTGTAGTGTGTATTTCATATAAGGCCCTAGAGTGCAAATATCCATCACAAACCACATAGTATTTGCGCTTAAAAGTAAGTTCTTCGTTTTCGTTTAGTGTTTAAGTTAACATTTTGTTGTTGTTAAGGGGTTTTAACTAGGCTAAGTATTTACGCTTGTAATAGTAATTATTGTTAAATTTATGCTAACGTGTGCTGGCTGTATTTGAAATCTGAAGTATTCCAACTCGAGTATAACAGTTTGCGTTTGTTTGCTTTTGCTTGTGCTTTTGCAATTGGTTTTGGTTTTGGTTTTGGATTCTCTAGCTTTTGTTCTTGCGAAATAATTTACAAAAAATATATGTATGTACACATATATACCGTCGCTCGGCACTCTCCTCATTAAAATACAAGAATATAAAAACTAATTAAGTATTAAATGCATTTTTTTGTGAGTTCTTCCGCTCGTTTTTTTGTTGCGTGTCTGGAAAAGCAAGAAAATCATGGGCAAAAATTCCTTGGACAAGTTAAACATCAAAAAGAAATGTTCGTTGTTCTGGAAACCTTGTTTGTTTTTTTGTTTTTTTTTCAACTAATTATAGTTTGCGGCTGAGTGAGAAACGATTTCAATTGAACTTTGACCTTGGCTAGCACGGCAATCGAAGCATTATCAATTATTTAGTCATAAATTTATTGTCATGGCAAACATTACGATAGTTAATAGGGTCTTTGGTTGGTTTCTTTTTCTTTTTGTTTTTGTTTTTCTTATACCTTTTTCTTGTTTCTTTTTCGACTTTCACATTTAGTACGCACATGGAATTTTGCTAATAGATTTCGCGAGACTTTCCCAAATGATTTCTTTTCGTTTTACATGCTAGTTTTTATATGAATATTCTGAAACGTTTTTAATCGTTAAATAATGTGTAATAAGGCCAAATTAAGTTTTCGTTTAAACATTAGTTAGCATTAGTTTAGTTTAGCATTAGCATTAGGTTTAGATTTAGATTTAGATTTAGATTTATTGGGTTGTCGAGTGGCAAGCGGCAGCCGGCGGCCTTAAATGCATGACGTGCACCTTCTCAGTGGGCGCGGCTCGGGCCAAATGGAATGATCTTGTAGGTGTTGTGCTCATTTCGCGATTTCGAGGGCAAATTTAAAGCGTAGTTCGAGAACGACTGGGTGGTTGGGTTGGGTTGGGTTGGTTTTCCTTAAGTAAGAGGGCTTGAAACGCGCGGCAAGCGGTGGGTTTTCCATTCAACATGAACTATATACGAAATGGGGGCGGTTGGGGCTAACTGGGCGTGGACTTTACAATGGGGTGGCTTTAATACAGTTTCGCTGCTTAATACTTTTGTATCTGGTTTTGTATCTATTGTCTGCTTGTATTTTCATGCACTTGCTCTGTGCTTTTGCTGGTTGGTCCGGAAGTTGTGGGTGGAAAATTCCTTTGGAGCGGGTGCGCAATGTCAACCCAGCCTGGCTTAACCGAAAACTAAAAGTTACAGCTTAAAAGAATACATAATCGTAGAAAATATACATTCATGCCTTTGCATTCCATTCCATTCCATCTAGGAGTGGGCTCCTAACGATCGAGTTTTGAGTATTCTGCAGCACTTGGTACTGGTCTCTCTCCAGCTCCTCAAACTAAAGAACTAAGGGCTAACACATTAATGCGTAAAAAAATAGATAAAACGATATCTTTAAGCGAGTTGGGGCGGCGGGGGCCAAACAAAATGATTCAGCCCCCAGCTCGAACTTAGGCGGTAAGATAAACTAATAAAATACTAAGAACAAAGTGGTTGCAACATTGTAAAAATAATAAATTCGCTCAAACGAAAGGTTTTCAATTACGGCTTCTTACTTTCCCTGGCTATATGGCTATAAAAAATATTTCTCTCTTGCTTTGCTGACTCTGACTTTGATTCCGTCTAAAGTGCATTTGCGGGGGTGTTTTTTTTTTCAGTGTGTTCCTGCACATTTTGAGATTTTCTGTTCGTCGGTTTTTTAAGTACAGCCTGTAAGTGCTGGCTTGGCTGGCTTGGCTTGCTTGGCTTTCTCAGCTCAATTCTGAAACATTTTGGCATTGAAGAAGTCGAAGGCGGGCGCGGACGTGGGCGTGGTCTGTGGCGGTGGCGGCGGCGGCGGCGGAGGCAGCAGTCCCGCATGGTGGTGAAAGAACTGCGCCGCCGGCGGCTGGCCAAACCCGGAGCCAGAAAGCAATGGAGGCGGATGTGGAGCCGGCGGACGATGTGTCTGCTGGCTGGATGGCGGCGGCAGCATCGCTCCAGCTCCATTCCAGGAGAGCCTGTGATGCTGCTGCTGCTGCTGCTGGAAGGCAGCCATGGCCGCCAGATGCGGGTGGTGGGGATGCTGGTGATGCGGCGGGTACTGGGGATTCGCCGCCGCAACCGGAACGCGACGACGACCCCGATTGCTGGCCGTCGTGGGCGGCGCTAGGGGATTGGCTCCTGGTTGGCAGGTGGGCGGCACTGAGGTGTCGCTTACCTATTCCCTGTAGGGCTTGCAGTAGGAATACCGGTGGTTCATGTGCTGGCTGTAGCTGCCCGAGTGCGAGAAGCGCTTCAGGCACTTGGAGCACTGAAAGGGCTTCTCGCCACTGTGCAGGCGCTTGTGCTCCGTGAGGTGGTGCTTGTGCTTGAAGGCCTTCGGGCAGTCCATGCACTGGTAGGGTCGCTGACCTGTTAGAAGAGAAGCAAATCGTGGAGTTAGAAGGGATTCCAAGATCGGGGAACTGTGGTTAACCCACCGGAATGCTCGTATTTGTGCCGCGCCAGCGAACTCTGCTTGGCGAAGGCCTTGTCGCACTGATCGCACACGTAGGGCAGATCGGGATCGCCCGCGTGGCCGTGGGTCTCCGCCTTGCCCCTGCGGGGTTTCGGTGGCATCAGGACGCCGGCGCCAAACTCATCCTCGTGGGATATGCGCGAGTCGTCGTCGCGCCACGAACGCTTCTCCGATCCGCCGGGACTCAAGCTGGTGCCGCGGTAGTCGGGCAGCTTAATACTGTTCATCAGGGGATGATTGGAGGCGAAGTCCCCGCCCGGGCGCATCTTGAACAGCGCCTCCATGGGCAGCGGCATGGGCAGCATGTAGGGCGGTAATCCCGGAAAGGCCTGGACACCTCGCGGAGTGGAATCCAGCTGGCTATTTGGGGGCGAAGGCGGCGGGGCAGCGCCAAAGTAGAGGGCTGCCGCGGATGACGGTGAAATCGAGGCCGGCGACATCGATGCGGATGTGGAGAACTTCCGGCTGAGATTGATTGCTTCGGGATTCAGGGCTTCGCCCGACGGTGGAGCTATGTACGGGGGCGAGCTCTCGCTCTTGGGCGTGAGCGGATCCCTCTTCACGGACAAGTCCAGAGGCTGATCCTCTCGAGTTAGAGATGTCTGGCTGTCATTGGTCGCCGACGGGGCTGTGGCCTGATTGTTCTGGAAACTCTGCATTTTGCGCTCCCTGGAGCGGTTGTTCTGGAACCACACCTGCACCACCCGAGGATCCAGCTGCAGACGGGCTGCTATCATGCGGAACTCATCCCTGCTGGGTCGCGAGTTGAGGGAGTAGTGCTGCTTCAACTGCTGCTGCTGCTCCTCGTTGATGGCCGTTCGCACTCGCACCTTGCGTTCGCCGCTCTCCTGCCTGGGCTCCTCCTCCACGTCCATCTCCTCGTCCTCCTCATCCTCTTCGCTGGCCGAGGCCAAGACGAAGGACGCGGCCTGTTGCTGTTGGAAGTGCTGCTCCAGCTCCTCCTTGATCAGGCCGCAAAGCACCTTCTCGTGCTGCACCAGCTCAGTGGGATGGTTGAACTGTTTGGAGCAGCGACTGCAGCGCAGGTCGGCGGCCTGCTCCACTGGGGCGTGTTCTTCCAGGGGCGTTTGACGTTCCTCTGGGGCGTTCAGGGGCTCCTGCTCCTGCTTAATCGCTTGCGAGGCGGACAGATAGCTGGAGCAGTCCGGAGCAGGCGAGGCTTCCCTGCTCTCCTCCCGCTTGATGGGAGTGGCTTCTTTGGCGGCCTCTGGCGTGGGCGGCCTTTCCTTGGCCTCCGGCTCCTCGATATCCATCACCAGCTTGGGCTCATCGGGGGTCTCCTCCTCCTCCCTCTCCTGCTGCTGCTTCTGCTGCTCCTCTCGCTCCTCCTCCATCTGCTGCTGGCCGGCGGCCGAGAGCTGCAGCAACCTCTGGATGCTGTAGGGATGCACGCGAGGATCGAGGCCAGCCGCAGCGGCCATCAAGTTGTGGGGAAAGGCCAGCAGGGCGGCGTTCATGTAGTTGGGATGGAATGGCGGGAAGGGCGTGGGTGCCGCACCGCCGCCCTGCACCTGGGCATCGCTGGCGAAGTAGCTCATGGGATGGGGCAGTCCCGGCAGCGACGGCTGCTCCGGCAGCTTGCCCTTGCCGTGATCCGCCGGCGATCGCCGGGACGCGGAGGATGCGGAGCCCGGACTCTTCTCCAGCCGCTTCAGCAGAGCGCGATTGTTGTTCAGCTTCAGGCCCATGCTGATGCACTTCTTCGAGGTCATGTGGGAGGAGAAGCTGCCGGAGTGCGAGAAGCGCTTGCCGCAGTTGTCGCATCCGAAGGGCTTCTCGCCGGAATGGATCCGCACGTGCTCCTTGAGGTGGTGCTTGAACTTGAAGGCCTTGTCGCACTCCTTGCACTTGAACTTCCGCAGCAGCGCGCTCTCGTCGTGGCTGATCATGTGCCTCTGCAGGCGGTACACGTTCGCGAAGGCCTTGTGGCAAATGCGGCAGGTCTGCAAGTAATAGATAAGATGCACATGCACGATTATAGTGGGTGTGTGATGATAGTGGCAAAGTGGGCTATACTCAGTACTATTTGCATTTATTTGAAAATTTCTGGGGCGTTTATTGCAATGAACTTGCCAAGTGGGCAAATATTTCAAAATATTTGAAATAAGGTTTTCAATGCCGATAGCTTGCTATTCAAAAGTGTCATCTCTAGTTCACAGCTTTCGCTGCCCACGCATCTCTTTCTCCCATTCTACGATCTTTTGTGTTCCCAGTTACCTTCTCGAACGAAGAAGAAGAGGAGGCCAGTAGACAGGTGGCCGCCGACATTGTTGCTGGATTTTGGATTTTGGGGTCGAGTTGCGCGGAAAATTGGGGGAAAAACGAAACACCAACAGGCACAGGTAATAAAAACTGTTTAAAACAACACGCGTATTTATTTGTTTTAAATTTAATGGCTTTCTAATTTGTTTCAAGGCGAGCGCTGCGACCACAAAAAAGCGGGCAAAATCAAAAGCGACCGCGGAAAACGGGCCATTTTTTGCTGCTTCTGTGTTTCTGAGTCGTAAAAGTGGACGTTTTGTGATTTTGTGATATTTAGTGAATTGTGCAAACGTATTCGAAGGAAAATACGCCGAAACTTCAATTAAACGCTGCAATGAAAATGTAGAAAAAGCGAAGCGCGCACAGCACGAACGAACGCGAAGAATGAAATGAAGAAGCGGACGAAAAAGACCGCGGCGTGCGCGACAGAGATGGCGCCATTTCCAGCGAAGGTAGGTTGTCACTCCGAAAGAAAAAGAATAAGAACAAGAAACAAAACAAAAACAAAAGCTGCGCTCAGCTGCGGGCTGCCTTCCAATAAAAATTCCACTTCAATTGGAAAATTGCGACACAAAAAACAAAGCAAGACAAGAAGGGGGCGCAGGAATAAACAAAAGTGCAGCGGGGAGAGCATCACAAAAACATCAAAATGTTTCAACAGCTGATGCTAATCAAATTTTCGATTTTTCGGGGAGCGTTTTTGTTTGTGCTTTGATTTGTTTGGCAACAAATTGAACACATCAAATGCTTAAAGGTGGAAATGGGAGTGGGAGTGGAAAGGAAAACGAAAGTGCAGCGCCGCTTTTCCCGCTTTCCCGACTTCCCGGCGTCTTCCTCTTTTCCACTTAGCGGCTGCGTTGAAAGATTTGCGGTACTTTGGCGGACAGATGGCAACACGTGTTGTTGTCCCCCTCCCACTTTCTATCGTGTGTACTCGCGTGCCTATGTGTGTGTTGTTTACCGTTCAGCCGTTGAACTTTCCATTTATTGCCGTTTCACCTTCGCTTCCAGAGTTCCCAGTTGTTATTCTTGCAAAATGCATGATATTCCGGATCGTAATCGGAATTACATTATATATATGCGATTCTAGGAATAAGCTAACAAGTTTAAAGCTTCCATTTAAATTCATCGGCATTTTCTTGTAATTAGTCGCGAGTGCTGAAGACGGCGTCTAAAGTCAAGTTCCACTGTACTGTCTTGGACTTTGTCCCTGATTTCGGGTTACGGTTACTCATGAGCTTCAATTAACGCACATTGCGCCATTAGTCATTAGCATGAACTCGTAACCAATTTACCCACTCGGGATGAGATCACTCCGAAAATACTATTAATATGTATTGTAATTAGTTTGTTCGTTAGCGTGACACGGTGTTTATTGTTTTAGGCGTGTTGGGAAAAATAATAATACATTTATAGCGCAAGCCTTCTAATTTGTTTGTTCTGCTGCTGATGGTAAAAAGTGAACGGAAAATGCCTTTCCTCGTCTCGTTTCGACAGCACTAACAGTTTCCGTTTCCGCTTGTTGTTTTACCTGTGACGTCACCCCAACCCCAATTGCATTCTCAATCTCCAGCAAAAGTACCATTTTCATGCGGCCATTTGTTTGTCAGGTGAGTGAGTGCGATAAATAGCTATAGTATAAAACGGCCACCTGTTGGCTCACTCCCGCGCACTAACGCACTCATGCATACATATATGCACACTCACACAAGCGCAGTTCAGAACCCGTTATCTCTCCACATGGAGTCGGGCTATCTGCGTCCCTCTCGCACGCACTCACTTAATCAGGTTGTTCGACTGTAAACAGCAATAACGCCTACCTAGAAATCAGAAACCATGGAACCACAAAACCTAGAAACTGTACAGTGGTAACTGGCTGTGAAGAGAGCCATTCATGAGTAATATAGTACATACATATGTGCATGTATAAATGCATATTTTGTATCCATACATTAAAATGTAACCTTTTTCCTTTTCAGGACTACCCATTTAAATACAAATAGAGCTATCCATCTGTCGAGTGCCCACTGTACACACCTCCCAGAGCGGACATTAAACCGCAAGAGCAGCTCACAATGGAAGCGCTTTGTTGTCGTCGGCGTTATCAATTAAATGTAAGCGAGCGAGGCGCAGCGCAAACGAAATGGAAATGAAAATGGCAGCCGTGAGATACGCCACTCACACAGATACTGCATACAGATACTTTATACCTTGCATGTGCGTATGTGTGTGTGTGTGTGCTGCACACGTTTACAAAAGGTAAGTTCCATTTGCGATGCGTCAGCCGGATTCTTCTTATGCGCTTTTGTTGTTACAGTTTGTTATTATTATATTTGCGATGAGCGGAAATGCCAATTGAAGCTACCTTTAACAAAGCCCCATGAAGATGCCCGCCCCCGGGGTTAACTACTGATGGACTGACGGACTGATGGACTGACGGACGGACGGATGGACAGAGTGTGTGCATGACTCAAGTGTTTTTCAGGGGAGCCACTCGAGCCAAAGTTGAAAATTGATTGATTCCACTAAGCGAATGGGCCGCGCACATGGAAATGGAAGCTAAAACCACTCGAGTGTTCAAGGTACAGTCTAACCTCCGTGGCATTAGTGTCGATAAGCCACGCACACGTGCGTACACGTCCGTTCCGATCGCCCCTTTTTTTCCACATGTTGCTAGCTGCTTAATTAATTAAATTTCATCCGAACTGTTCGAATCGTAAGAGGGGACGCGATTGGGTTGGGTACACTCGGAAAAACAATGTGGATTATGGTCATTTAACGTAAAAAATATGTAGTTTTGGTTATTCGAGTCGAGGTGTACTTTCACTGTTCACCTTAAGTATGCGGTTGAACTATCAGCCGGAGGCTTTCGGTGCTGATAAGCGCACACTATCACTATCAATCGATTTCCAAGAGGCGCGTGTGCTCGTAAACAATCGAATCGCCGAGCGGATCAGGGTCGGGATGCGGATTAGGCGACCAAAACAATTACTAACCCCTCTCTATCTCTTCTCTTTGCAGATAACCTCGATCAGGTGAGTGCAAAAATAAATATTACAACTATTTGGAAAACAGCGGGAGGCTGGCTACTACTTATCAGCAACTTATCAGTGTGAAATACCCAAATATCGAGCGAAAACTAGCGACCACACACTGTGGCATCGCACCGTCTTCAAAGCGCTCGTCTCGTCAAGCGTAATTGTACTGGGCGCGGTGTGCGGATGGTCCAGCAGTTGCATTTTAGCCTGGTTAATTGCGGGCGACAGGCCTTTTGGCTAAAATTATAACGCAACGTAGGTGGGCGCCTGTGTTTGGACCCGGTCGAAAGTGGTGGGCCCCACCAATAGACAAATCAAACGAACGAGACACGCTAAGATAATGTCTCGCCACAGACAGAAAGCTAATTTGTGAACGTATTTCACGATTGCTGGCTGAAAAATGCCTTATGCACTGAGTGACATGGGAATTTGGCCATAATAGCGCGCATAATTGGCCGTAAAAGATGATCATCCAAAGGGAGATCGTTCGGCTTTCAAAGTGTCAGCCCCAAAGGCAAGCAAACAATGTTGACAAAATACCAAACGATGTCGAGGTGGGGGAATACTATGTACGGGTACATTGGGTCTCGAAAATCTATGGATGCTGGGAGAAAAGCTCGTGGGATGGTAAAAACCGTAGAGTGGGAAATATTTCTATAAGACAGGATGTGTAATCAAAATCGATCCGGCTCGAAGGGCCAAATGGGTGCAAGGCACATTGGTTTCCTTAGAAATGTAGCACCAAAAGTCCTAAAGTTTTGGAACGCACTGTATGCGGTTTGTCCACATAGACTCGTCTATATGGTATCTGATAGATATAAAAGCGCACCTGTCGCCTGACGAAATGCGTAAACAAAAATAACAAAATGCGACAAGCTCAAAGTTTCTGCTTCTGTTTTTGTTTAATTCTATGAGATGCTTTTGAGGTCAGCCAAATAGAAGAAAAACGAATATTAACGACGCCACAAAGAAATGTTTAGCGCAAAAAGATGAAACGAAGTAGAGACTCGAGTGAAAAATACGACGAACATAATGGTGTCTGATCTCTAACTGCTTTATAGCGAAATACGCGACCCAATTTCGAGCTTATCGCTCGGCAGCTGCCGCCCCACAAGCAAATAGTACTGAAAAGTATCTGGACTACGACTGATTAGACATTTCAAATGAATGAAACCCCAAGTCGGGCCATTGACGTACCTTTCTGGCAAGACAGAGAGAGCGAACTAATTGTAGTACCTCGTGGAATCGCGGAGGTCGGCGGGTTATCGCGGGAAAACCTGATAATCCGTAGGTAGAGTCCGGACTTCAGATCGGTTAATTTATTGTTCTTTTGCCGAGGAACAATGAGTGATGCCATTACGTATTGCTGGGCGGGTTCATTAACTTTCGTCGGCGCGATCATCGCTGCATTAAGTCCATTGGGAAATTGATTAACACGCGCAGTTAACAGGGAAATACTTTTAGCCATTGCGGTCACTTTGCTGCCGCATTTCTCAATATTTTATGGCCATTTTACGCGCTTTGTGCAGACGACAAATCCATATACATAGCACATAGCATATAGCATATGCAGCAGCAGCGCTGGGATTTAAAATTATTAATTTTCCATAAATCATCTCGAGTTCAGTCGGAGGCCGAAATTTCGGTTGCTGTTTCTTTTTCGGTGTCTGTCTGCGTTTCGTTTTCATTCGATTTTCATTCGCCAACGCAGCGACAAATCAAATTTAATTGTTTATAAATAAAACGTTTTTCTCAATGATGAGGACGCCCTGATTTCAACGGCAGCGAGAGAGCTGCGAAATTAGTTGCGTATTAGGAAAACATAAATTAGGCGACGCCGCGGTATAAATTAAATTTATCACTCTTGATAAAAGCCACTGTCTTGGGAAATTAGGGAAACGTGTCGTGGAAAAGTATGATTTCCTGGGCGAGCACAAATTCCGTGGGTTGCGATAACTTTTCTCAGTGTTTTCTCCGTGTTTTCAGCAGCTACTATCACTTTTAGCTGGAAGTAGCAGTATTATACGTTCCTGTGAAAAACGCTTCAGTGTTAAAGCTTGCCACTTTCGCTTATGCTAATCTGAGTTTCTATTCACTTTCCCAGACCATTTAACAAGAGTTCTGAGCGTCTATCTAATGTGCCAACCCTTTCCAAATACCATTTGGTGCTGCAATTTGAAACTTCTGCTGTGACTTTCTCTGGAGTCGTCCTCAAGTGCAATCTCTTCTCACAATCAGACTGCCCAATGAAATGTCAAGTGCTGTAGTATCATATCATTCTGTGTTCTTTTACCCCCTCGACTTTGAAATTCCCAATCGCCTCGCGGAGCAGAGCATTTCTCATTAAACATATCAAGTAACAACCGCACAATAAACGTCACAAGTGAAAAAACCCACGGGACTTGCAGCGAGGAAAACTGAAAAGTCGGGGGAAAATTGTCTGAGGCATTTCCATGTGAGCATGTGAGAAACTGCGCCACAAGCGGAGCCACATAATTTATGGCCCTCACGGTGAAAGTTGATATAAATCTCAGGAGTAACTTAAAAATAAGGGAAAGAAATGAGCTAGAAGTTTAAATTGCAGTCGAGCGACTGACATGTGGAAGTAGGCAGGTGAAAAGTCTGGGGAAAACCAGGGGACATCCTTGAGGAAACAGGAACTCCCAAAGATGATGATGATGATGATGTGAAGCATAAAAAATGATCATAGGACAGAGGTTTTCACTTGAGAAGCTGAAGTGGAAATGGATAATTGTCGTTTGAAAAACTAAAATACATTACAATGATTTGTTATATAAATCAATATAAATAGTCCTTGCAACCAATTATAATATTTAAAAGCCCCTGACTATAAATCGTAGCCTCGCTGTGTTTAAAAGTTTTTTAATTTGTCTGCTTTAATTGCGAATAATTCGGAAACTTTTAACTCCCCGTCACCTTTGACCTTATGGGGTCCGCAGAGAAATACAGCATAAAAATACATTTAAAAGCGGGTAGACGAGCAAATAAAGGGTTGAGCCAAATAAATTGCTATTAATTTTTCACTCGCTCCGTTCGTCAAGCGGCGCCGCAAAGACGACGACCCAATGTGGATATGTGGACGGGCATCAGTGGCAGCAGTGGCATTGGTGGCAGCAGTGGCAGGACTCGCAGGACTACACCTAAAGTGCATATAATTTTTCAATTTGAATTGTCTGCGCCCTGCCCCAGTTTGTGGCGGCCAAAAAGGTGGCAAACCGGAAACGGAAAAGCGGAAGAGCGGAAGGCAGCAGCAGAAAGCAGCAAGCCAACCCGCCAAATGAGTTGTGGCCAAAAAGTTGCAGCCATGTGCGTTTGCAGTTAAGCAAATATTTAATTGCTGCACTTTTTCTGCTGAAAGTTGGCCAGGACCTCTGCTTTTTTCGCCCGTAATTTATGGCCTGCCATTTGCTCGGCCGTCTGAACCCCCCCGCAGCGCTTTCCCCCCTCCCCGGTTAATGATGTTGACCTTAAAAACAAATGTTGAAATGTTGCATCAACAATGTTGGATTGATACCCCTCACACCCCCCACTGCCTCCTTTGTGCGGCGCTTTAATGCCTTTTCAATAAAATCGTTGCCTACTTTTGTGAGTCGACAGCCTGATTTCCATAATGAGCCATTTGTCTCACTGGCAAAGGGGCGTAGCGGTGGCATTATTGTTATTTCTGGCACTGTTTTTGTTTGCCGCATAATTAATTGTTTTCACACATAATAATTTAATACGGCGAACACGTGTAAAAGCCAATGGCCAACAATATTAAATAAATGCAATGTGCCACATCAATTATAATTGGTTTGTTCGCATAGTTTGCACACTTGGCCATGTGTCAATGTGGCTGTTGCCATTTTGGCCTTTTCGCATGTGTTTAAATGTTTAAATGTCATTAACGAAGCCGTAAATTATATGCAACCCAAGTGGGCAACTGCACGGGGTGGCTGTATAAGAGGGGTATAAAGGCGGAGTTGCAACTCATAAACCTGCTCTTCAGCTACGGAGTTGGCCAACTTTATTAGCTTTTTGCCAGGCTGGCAATCATCGCGGCTTAGGTAAATATTAATAACGGCCAGAAAAGTATGAAAAAGCAATAGAAGATAGACTGCACAGTGGGTTTTGCTCGAAATTGAGGACACTCATGAAAAGGTAATACAAATTCTTGGAAAATCTACACCTAAAGCAATAGAATATATTTGAGTATACTTTACTATTCAGATATGATAGTATGATTCCCTCTGTTGACTTTGCCCCACTGTGTGGCTCAAAAACCTGAAATCTCATCTCGTATTTTTTCGGGCTGGTGTCAAACTTTTTCATTTCACTCGTGCTTTCTCCCCTCATATGGGGAAGGTAAAAGATACAGCCCCCGAAAAAAAACCATCATACACGAAAAACAACAACAAACTAGCCATATGAATTTATGACCAGCAGAGGTGGGGAGAAACTTTGGATGGAGTCTGTCTTTTGTATTTGGGGGGGCGAGTGCAACAAAATTATAATTTATGTGGCTTTAATAGCCGCTGGGTAGCTCCAAGGTGAACCAGTGCCTGCTCCGCCTTTCCCTGTGACCCCTGACCCGTCTCCACTTGCTCCTTATCGCGTGTGTGACTTACGCAGCAGGCCTGGATATTTTCTTTTTACAACTCGTGTGCCACATAAGGCCAAGACGGCGAGTGGAAGAAGCGGGGGGCGGGGGCGTGCGGTTAGGTGTTATCAGGTTCCACTTGCCTGAGGCAACATTCATTTCAATGCCTTATCACGGGGGCAGGCCTTAGAAAAAACAACAACTGCACAATTGGGAGTTATGAGCGTGTGACTGACAGTCTTCCCCCATATTTCTATATACACACTCGCACACTTACACACACTTTTTATGCCTCCCCCCTTCCCCCTTCCCCCTTCTGATAACAGCCCCAATTGTTTTTCTCCGTCGCCGCCATTGGGGAATTTGGTTTTTACTATTTTTCCTTCGGTCCGGTGAACGCCTACGTTTTATTTTTATGCCCCTTATCATAGTTTACTACGGCATTGTTGTTGCCCCACGCCGATAAAACAAAAGTCGAATGGCGGTAGGCGGTAGGCGGTAGGCGATAACATTGAGGCGCGTTTCTCGATTTTCTCGTCTTTAAAAGTGCCAATGCTTGACGCGTGCACGGCGAGAAAAACCTATCATGATGGCCTTAAGTGTGGAAAAAAAAATAAAACTTAATTCCAAGTGAATGGTTCACTGTTAGTCACTATCGCGTGTGCTGTTTGTTTTTCGAACATACATATATCTTTACCACTGGCCGTTTGCTGTTTTTTCGACGATTTGTCAACAGGAAATGTGCATAAGGTTGGCTGGCTGGCTGGCTGGGATTCCCGCACCCTTCCTTCCAGTGACATGGGGATTTGATTGGATGCTGTACTTGGCACCGCACTCCCGTTATCGGTAGGCTCATTTCCCGTTAGCCGCGAACAAAGCCCACGCATTGTGCTACACCCGCCGTGATCAAGTGTTCAAAGATCAAGTGCCCCCAGATCCGACTCCCTCCAGCCCTCCAGCCCTCCAGCCCTCGATCCCCCATCCCTCCCAGTTGGGATTCTGATTCCGACTACGCATGAGCAACCAGCCAACACGTAAGCCACTGAACGCCGAGGGATAAGAACAAGTGACTCCCCTTATCAGGGCTTCCAGGAATTTCGATCCTCCCGCTGCATTCCGCAGGTTTAGTCACTGGTTGCCCCCGGTTTTCCCACTGATTGCCCCACGATCGCCTACCAGCAGCATTATTTTCGACATGTGGTGTCTGACTCAAAGCCACTATCACTCGAAAATATTTGTGTGCCGAAGTTGTGATTGCAAAACGTGAATGTATACATTTAAATGTTATTAGATATGTAGTATATTTCGCAGCCTTATACTGCAGCCTTGGCATTCCATAGAGGCATACATATCGTACCATTAGGCTATCTCGACTCTTGAAATAGTTCTGCAGCTTGGCCAGCCCCCGCTAACTGGCTGTGCTTAAAGTTATTATGTCTTTTATAACTAGTTTCCAATGGCTATGTGCAACTCACCTGGGAGACATTGCTGACCGCCGCCGGGCCGCAGGGCGAGTGGAGCTGCTGGTGCTGCTCGAGCTGGTCGCGCGTGGCGAAGGAGGCGGTGCACTGCATGCAGGGGTAGGCGCCACTCAGGTCGCCGGTGGTGGAGCCCGGACTGGAAGTGGAGCGCGGGGCGCTGAGGTCCAGGTCGTAGGCGGAGTTGCTGCCCACGCTGCTGTTGCTGCCGGGCAGTTGCGGCGGCAGCAGTTGCTGCATGGTCATCTGCTGCTGCTGCAGTTGCTGCTGATGCTGCTGCTGATGGTGATGCTGCTGCTGCTGATGCTGATGCTGCTGCTGTTGGCTGGGCGAGCTGGCGGTGCGGGCGGACTGAAGGGAGGCCAGGGAGGCGGCGGCGGCGGCCATGAACTGGGCGTGCAGGTGGGGCGGCAGCTGGTGCTGCGGCGGGTGCTGGAGCTGGGCGAAGAGGTCGCCGGGTGTGAGGGCGCCGGGTGAGCAGAGGGGCGACATTTTGCTGGCGTTGTTGTGGTTCTTGGCCAGATCGCTGTTGTTGTTCATGGACTGGTTGCTGGTGCTGTTGCTGTTGGCGTTGGCGGTGCTGCTGTTGTTGTTGCTGGCCAGCGGCGACTTGGCGTACCGCCTGCTGCTGCCGCTCATGTTGCTCTGCTCGTCCTCGGCATCGCTTTCCGGCTGGGCGGCTCCGCAGTTCAGCTTGTCGTGGGGATGCTCGCTGGCAATGTGCTCGCTGAGGGACTGTTTCAATGAATAAATGTACGAATGGGATTTGTCGTTATTTGTATAAAATTCATGTTTATTTGTATAAAAACCCCAAGTTTTTAATTATCGAGTAGGACAACTCTTATCTTGGTTCTAATCCCAGCAACTTTGCCCTATTATCTTTGCGTTCAACACCATAATCACATCACATTTCCGGTTTTTAATCATACCCCTTAAACGTATTTAATTGCGTAAGCTAATTAATTTTTAACGTACGAAAGTTCCCAATATTAAGTTGAAATCGTTTTGTGTTTTCCAATAAGTAATACTTATTTTCACGGCTTAGTTACTAGATTTTTGCTAGTTGCGAAATCCTACCTGATACTCGGTGAATCGCTTGTGGCACTGGGTGCACTTGACCAGGAAGGCATCTGCGGCGGCACCTGGCTGGTTGGGATGGGCATCCTGGATCCCGCTGGAGCCCGGATTGCTGTGCTTCGGCGACTGGTTGTGGTGGAGCAAAGTGGAGGCCAGCGAGGGAACTGCGGAGTAATGGGGAGGAGGAAAACAAATTAACTGCCAGATCGTTTAAGAACCATAAAGTATGCGAAAGGGAACTCGAAAGCCAGATGAGAAGTATGGAGAGTGAGGTGCTGCAGAATCCACAGAGAGAAATTCGGGGCGTACTTACATACTATAAAGATGGGAAAAGTAATAATATCAAACAACTAGGTCATTAGCAACATTGCTTATGAAGGAACTTTAGAGTAAATAAGTTTTAGAACTATATTGTTGATTGAATCTTTTTTTCCGTGTTCCCAAGAACTGGAAGATCGACTTAATTTCGTGGCAAATCAACTTCGCAGGCCTTCACGCAAGACTGAAATCCGCGGAGGCGATGATCTCATGGTTTCTTTCGATCCGCCGCAGAAACCGAAAAGAAAAGAACAGAAAAGAAAACATAAACGGGCTAAAGAAGCGGAGAAAAGAAGTGGAAGAATTGAAGAACTGAAGAACGCACGCACACTTGAGAGAGAAGAGTTGACTTAATCAGTTGAAAAAAGCGTTCAGCCATGGCGAACAGCAGAAAGAGACGGGCGGTGTGGGGCAGACAGAGAGGCAAGACGTGGTCCCAGAAGATTGCTGCTGTTGCTTTGTTCCCCCGAGGGTCACTCAATTGCCCTCTCGCTCTCGCTCTGAAACTTTGTATCTGTATCTGTATCTGTATTTGTATCTGTATCTGAGAAGGTGGAATACTTCACAAAATGGAGTTTCTGTTATTTGGTTCTTCTGTTTGTTTTTCCTTTAGAGTGTATAAAGTGTATGGAGGGCAGAACAGAGCGAGTCTTTGTTCCCATTGCCATTTGATCGCTACCTTAATTTAAGCCAATTAACTGGCGGCAGACGAAGACAGATACCCAGATACTCAGATACTCGAATACTCGCATACTCAGATGCCCGATACTCACATACGGGCACTGAATGAATGAACCCTGTTTTATCGCCACCTTTCTGCCAGAAGTATCTGTATCTGAGGGCTGTCGGCTCAATCAAGCACAATCTACGAAAGTTCATTGCACGTTTTCACTTTCAATAGTTGCAATCTTAATTGATTTCGATGCGGGCTCCGATCAAAAATGAATTAAATCGCTATATCACTATATGCCTCCCACCTTCTCACTTTAGAAGCCATTAAAAGCCATTATAAAACAACAGCTGACACACGTAGATCCATATCTTTGGATTCTATATCTTTGAACTATACATGCTGCATATACAGAGAGTATATAATTTTGAGTCCAAGAATTTATATCGCCTGGTCTGCCTAATGACATTTTTATTGAAAGTTGTAAAACGACAACACTTTTTTACGGCCCTACATTGTGTTTCATCAGCATAATGTGCTGCAAACAAAAACCCGCTCGTGGGGAAAACGTGGAGCTCAACAAGTGTGTCACCAGCTCATTTAGCCCAATCAATTCTTCATAACCGAGAAATTATTAACGCAATCGGTTTTACACTTTTATTCTTTCCGCCCCGTAACGCCACTGAAATATTGAAAGTGTCCCGCAAATTAATTTCAATTTGTGCGCAACCGAAACGAAGTGAAACGGAATTTCTTGTATTTGTTTCTGCGGAACGCAACTCGAGCGTTTTTCGTGTATTTCTATAGGTTTGGTCTCATCTTTCGGTTTATTTTTTTAACTATTTTGCGCCTAACGCCAACCAATTGAAGTTGATTGATCGTGCTAGGTGTGGGGCGGCGAAATCGGAGGGGAATTCTTCAAAGAAGAAGGTATTTTTAATCTTCCATTTCAACCTGAACTTTATGGTCCTTATACTATAGCATTTTCAATATACTTTCTAAAAACTTGAAGATTTGAAAATAAAGGCCACGAATCTCCTGCTTTGACAGTTGCCAAAATGTTGATTGGGGCATTATGTTTTTTATTTTTTAGGATACTTTCGAGGGGGATTTCTGGGGCAATTTATGGGCGGCCGCACGTTTGCCAAAAACAAAACAAAAACGCCAGCAATCAAATTCTAGCCGAGGGGAAATCTTCTGGAACGATGTCAAGTGTTTGCTGGCGATTCGAATTCTGTTTTTTTTTTTTTTTTCTGGGTCTGGTTTTCTGGTTCACCTGTGCGGTGGAAAACACGCGCGGAGAAAAAGATTCGAAAATAGGGTAGATGAACGGATGTGGGGGAGGTCTGAATATTATAAATAATACGTAGATGGGCTGGCGGCGTAAATCAATGGCAAAATAACCGAGAAAAGATACATTTGTATCTGCAGCATGGATACCCGAGATACACCCACTAATTTTATGTGCTCTTTTTATTGCCAACTTTTATTAGCCAGACATATTTCGACTAAGCCCGGCTAATGCAAATTTATTTATTTCTCCTGCGCCGTTCTACGCTTTTGAAAATTCTACATTTTCATCGAATAATTTATTTCCCCCACGAATTTTCCACCTGACTTTCCGCAGCTTTTCCCCGCTGCCGGGGGGGTGGGGTGCCAAAGTGTTTTTTAATATTTCACTGACAGCCGATTGTCACGACAATTTTCCGCGCTTTCGCCGGACAGGTGAGGGAAATTCTTTGGGGCCCCGGAAAATTGTTTGGCGATTGCTGACGCAGTTGCAGACAAATGGACGACAGGTGGCGCCCGCTGGCGCAGAGGGGTTCGATGATATTTAATGCAAATAAACATAAATTCTAGCACTTAATTATAAACAGACCTCCGGGCCTGCGCTCATTTGCAGTCAATGAACGTGGTTAGCATATTTATGATATAAATTGCCTGCAAATGAGAGCGAGTGCAAAAACACTTAGTACAGAGCTAGCTAATTGCCAGTGGAAAAACGCAAAAAAACACAACAAAACATAGAGTAGGGGAAAAACGACACTATCAGACAGTCGCAATTAATTTGTAAATGAAAACCTGTGGGAAGGTTTACGGCTCAGTTGTTTTCCATCGTCGAGTTACGGACGTGCGAATATTTATGGGCGAAATCGAGTGGAGAACGAACCCCGTCTCGAATCGAAATTCCAGGAGGGTCCAAGTCCGATCTCAAGTGGCAATCGGCTTTGAGCACGGCACACATGTGAGCGGCATATGGAGTTGTCCCGATAATCGCTCTAAATTTGGAATGCCGTTCGAGGGCTTGCCTACAGATCGGTGCACTGAGAACAACGGCTAGCGCCAGATACAAACTAAAACTATAGAAAGTGTTTTCTGAACCTGGAGACAATCAAGCTCATACTGATTTGAGTTACTCATCCATGACTCACTCTTTTGAAATGTGACCTTAAAGTTGCCTCCCTTTTTTTTGCAGTGTCGCACCTTTGCCCTGGTCTACTCTCCACTTTGGAATGGGCACAAAGGTGGCCACGTTGTGCCCTGCCCCTTCAAGTGGCAAATGCAAAGGTGCAGATTCGGAGCCAGACGATCGCCTATAAATAGAGTTCTCCTTTCTGCCCTTTGCTTTATTTGTTTGTTCAGCAAGCTGATGCTGCTGCGTGCTGCGAGCTGCTTGCTGCACGTTGCACGTTGCACGTTGCTAGATGCTGCTGCCACGTTTATTTTATTTGTAGCATTTGGCTTTGCTGAGTGTGAAATTTTAATAGCCAAGCGAGCCGTGTCCGTGTTCGTGTCCCTGTCCTTTTTTCCTCCGCATGTGCACATATATACATATGTATATATATGTATATGCATATGCATATGGGAGGCCTATCTGGAGGATAGGGAAACATATGTGTCCCGGGGCGAACTATTTCTGCGATTTACCTTGAAAAAATATGCAGAAACGCGTGTGATGTCGTGGTGTGGGCGTTCTACGTTCTGAAATTGGAGTTGCAGTGCGTTGGCGAGCCGAAAGCAATTAGGGAAATATGCCGCAGAGGTGTTCAAAGCACGGGAAATTGTGGAAGCAATGCCCGGCCATCCATGAGATACTTTGGCATCTTATTCCTCAAAGGAAGTGGAGGCAGGCGCATTTTTAAATGCGTTTTCTTTTATAAAACGAATTACTAACTGTGATAAGATGGAATATTGTTCCAAAAAATTTGAATAACGCATAAATTTAATTCCGTACTTTAAAGATAAATAGAAACTTTTCGCTGGAAGCACTCTGAAGATTGTATTCTCCGAATAGCTGTAGTAATGGGTTACTTTGAATTCGTTTGCATATATAGCTAATAATTTTGGTGATCCACCAGTAAATACCAAAAACTGCAGCTTCAGCCATCTGAAACGAACTTCATTAATGCAGAAAGTACAACCAAAGTTGGGCTTAACTTGGCTAATTGATATTCACTTGGTCCTCCCGACTCGTGTATAAATTGTATGCCATCGAAAAAAACTCCGAAATAAAGCCCATCGAGTGCAATTGAAACTTTTTCAGCTGGCGCTACCACAATAGAGCTGTTGACTATTTTTGTTTATTTAAAACTTTTAACAATTATTGTGCAATTGTGCGAAATTTATTGCAATTGAACGCCAATCAGAAGGGAAGTGCCCCTCTGCCCGCTTTACCCGCTCCCCTGCGATTCTCCTGGCTTTCCCCGGGTTTTTCACTCCGGTTTTCCTCAATGCCAGCACCACCCGTTAACCAAAATCGTTTACATGTTAAATTGTGCCTGCTCACTCCTTTTTTTAGAGCCTCCTTTTTGGCGCTGCAATTTTGCCTGCCCTTTGGCAACACCTTTTTTCAGGGGGCGCAAAGGGGATCTGTGGGACTCCCTTTTGTTTGCGCCGATTTTTTGGCACTTTTTTTTTGGGGGGTTGGGGCAGCACGGGAATTGTTGTCTCGTGGAGCGCGGCGGCATTAAATAAATAAGAAAAAATATATTCGCAAGGAGGCGGGCTGCATTCCGTGCAATTTTCACTTTACAACTGTTTCAAAGTTATCTTTGTTTCAATTGTGTGCACGACGGCGGCAAAAAGCGAGCAGCAAAAAATATTGGCAAACAATTTACTTTTTGGCCAAAATGCGAAATAAAAGTAAAATGTGGCAAATAATTTGCCCAAAGCTGCGGCAGGTTGAACACGGAATAAAGGGAATCTGCAGCAGGATATCAAAGAGGACTTTCCCCTCATTGATTTATTGTCCTTTTGTGTTTGTTGGGCCTTTGCTTCGTTTCTTTTTTTTCCTGCTCAATTGCAATTTAAAGACACAGTCTGTTTATTTTGGGCAAAGTCGGGCCAGTCTCCAACTCCACTTGAGATAGGCATCGGCAAAATTAATCATCTTTGCATGCCAGTTGCCAGATAGTTTGGGGCCAAGTTTGTTTAATTTCGATTACCAGCTGGCTGGCGAAAGTCCTGTGCCCGCCGACAGATGCAGGATGAGCCAGGAGTCCAGTAGTCCTGGAGGCCAGGAGTTATAAATGGCAGCACCGACAGCACCAGCATATAAAACTGACATCCACTGACAGCAGCCAAAATGATTAATTAGACAGGACGCAATCTTAGTAGCAGGGCTAGGTATTCCCAATCGAAGATGCAAATGTCAGATACATGTTCCATTTCGGTGCCAAACAGCTTTGATGCGTGCAAATGGGAATGGAAATTAGCGCTGATTTAGTGGCCCCTGGCCACGAGTCGAGAGATAAATATGTAGGGTATATAGAGTGTATGGGGTATATTTAGCAAAGGGGGCGTAGTCGAGGTGATAACAGGCGACAGGTTTTCGCCAGGGCGAAATGTTTGATTTACGGCATTTTGGAGCCGTTTCGAAATGCTACACAACACACGCCGAGCAGCCGGAAAATTAGTACAACTTGGCTGGCTGGTTTGGCTGGCTGGCTGGCGTTTTCCCCCGGCTTTTCCAAAAGCCCAGCGAACAGCATTTCGTATGTAGCCGGCGATTAATATCCATCGCAGTCGCAGCTGCCCAGCGCCATCAAGCAGTTTGGCTTGGCCAGGAAAGAAACGGAATACAACAACCGGAAAGTATCTCCGATCTGTGGGAGATACACATGTATGTGGGCCAACCTGTGCCCAGCCGCCTGATCGATTAGCCAAACTATCGTGTTCGAGGGCTTTTAGTTCCGCCCACAGGGAGCCGAGCTGCTTAAATAGCCATAAATTATAATTTATGGCTGCGGTGTTGCCCCTGTTTCCACCGAACATGTGCAATTAATCCGTCTCCTTAGCTGGCTTATCAATTGTCTGTGTGGAGCATCGCGAGTTTCGTGGGCGTTCCCCCGCGGAAAGCGAAAAGTGGAAATTGGAAAGCGGAAAACTTGCGCCATCCCCCCAATTCGCCTGCTAAGCGTTTTCAATTAATTTCGGCTCTTTCACACCTTCCATTTCCACCGATGAGCTCTGCCCACTGACAGTTTAATGCTTTGTTTACACTCGATAAACAGAGTGGCAAGCGCCCAGCCCAGCAGCAATATGGCCACAAAACAGGTTCTTCCAATGGTGGTGTTGGCCAAGTTAGTCAGCTACCTGTCTGCCTTCAACCTGCGCATGCGGTTTTCCTGTTCAGGGGTAGCTGCTACCTGTTCCTCGGTGGGTGGAGATTACTGGCAAGGCGGCGGTTCTGGTTCGGCGGTGCCAACAAATCAAATTGAGATGTGGCTGCAATTGGTCGGCCGTTGGGAGGAACAGAGAGGTGGCTGTGCCCCGAAGGCAGGGAAGTGTTGCCATTATTCACGATCGGCTGGCCGACTTTCATGCGTGAACAGCGTGATATGGCCAAGATATGTACGAAATCGAACGGATTTCAACGGTATACTAAAGGATTAATAATTATCGAAACCACCTTATAGTTATAGCTTGATATCAAGTATCCGAAACTAGCAAATGGCTGTCACTATAGTTCGCCAGTTCTTTGAGTTCTCAAAGCTAGCTGGCCAAAGTGACCCCGTTTTCTCGCGGTGTGCTGAGCGGGCAAACTCTGTCGGGCGTAGGAGTAGGTAATTCGAGCCGCTCATGAGTTCTCATGCTCGATCCCCTGAGGTGGAGACCACACATAACCCAAGATGGCGGAGTTTCTGGCAAACTGCTGAGCTTGCATGTCTTGAAATTGATCTTGAAATCGGTGAAAGATCGAGACCGATACCAATACCGATGCCGAGACTTGGCGCGCGAATCAGTTTAGGCAAGGTTCGATTGCATGGGCTGGCTGATAAAGGAGGCGAGTCCCGACCCGGATGAATCATCCCGACCCGAGAGATCTGTGATATGTGTGCTCCAGATCCGCGTTCTGATCACTTACACTGCATGGCGAAGGGGGAGGTGGAGGGCATGCTCTGCTGAATGATGGTATCCTCTTGGCCGAAACGTGAAGACGACGGCGCCAGACAGGACAACATTTGGAATGCTTGTTGTGACACTTGCTCTACTTTGATGCGGATAGTTTGCTTGGTTTGCTTGGCTAGCCTAGTGGGTTGGTGGCTTCTGCTGGTCTCGTCTGGGCGTTATTTCTTTCTTATAGAGCACACACGTGTGGCGGCCATTTGGGCAAAGGGCCTTCGGTTTTTATCATTCGAACATGGGAGAAACACTGGGATTTTTGTTCGCGATGCGATGCGAGATGCGCTGCGAGTGTCGCGTTTGTTTTTATTTTGTGGGCGATTTCACAGATCTGCGTTTTCTATATCTGCGTTCTCTGCGTGATTCTACTGCTAGAATGTGCTGCTCAGAGTTTTCTCTGTGGGGGAGCGACGCGTGTGCTGCCGTCGCGACGTCTACGATGCAACTGAATTCTGAGTTCTAACTTTCGCAGCATCAAGCCAAATCCGAGACCGAAACACAGACCGACGTCCTCGTCCGTATCCGTCGGATGCGAACTGAGCGTTTCGTGCGATACGCGGGGTTCTACGGGGAGCGAAGAAGACGCAGCTAGCGGTAGCGGAGAGAGAGTGAGAGAGGGCGCTGTTTGTGTGTGTGCTCCGTGTGGCTGTGCCTGTGTCTGTGCCACCACCAGCATAATATAACGGTGTAACGGTTCACCGTTGCGATGTACGAGGTGATTCGGGCGGGGGGAGTGTGTTGGTGGTCTAATGCTCTAATGGGAATGGGGGGTGTGTTGGTGGTGGTGCCGGAGCAGCGCTCTCTGCCTTTAACATAACAGCGCTCTGTTGCGGCATATCGTAAATGTTAAGCGCTGTTAGTGCCTCTCCTCTCGTAGTCACATGACGTAAGCGCTACGTAAGGGTGGCCTCTTCTGTTTAACGCGTTTCTCGTAAACATATGGCCGTTATGCGGGATTTGACTATATTAACATTTGCCCAAATTTCTGTTTTATTGATAAAGCATCTTATGAGTCATTACACGAACTTTTCCGCCAAACATCAAATTTAATTCGGTTTTATTCCGTAAGTAATTTGCATATTACGTTATACAGATTAGGAAAGATTTTTAATAAACATCTTAATGCTCAGAAATAACTAGAAATCATTAGGCGTTCCAAGAAGGGAGCGGCAATAAACGAATTTATTTACATATTTACTTTTATTATAATATTTATGCAAGCCCTTCTGGTGAATCCAGTTCAGTGCAAAATATTCCCCGTGTGGGAGTCACACAAATGCATCATAGAGATATGATTAATTGCCCACTCAAGAAAGCCTTCGATCGTTTTTCTTTCGGGGAAATTTGGCGGTGCAAGATGAAGGGGCTTTTTTTTTCCAGGGAATCCCCTAACCCTTTCCTGGCCACATTGCTGCGTTAACGGACTAACTCATTTGCACTTGCGATTGCAAAATTTCCTCTGCGGCGGTTTCCGAGTAAGAAATACCGAAATCGTTCCGCAATTGCCACACATTAATGACATCGTCCGCTGATGGGCGAGTTCTTGAGAATGTCCATCAATGGACACGTCCACAAAATGACAGAAGAACCGAGATCCAAGAGATCCAAAGATCCAAGAGACCCGGAGAACCGAAGAATTCTAACGAAGAGAGGAGCATGCGAGTGGCTTGATTCTTTGGCTCCATCAACAAGTTTTGGAGGCCTCTTGGGATATTGGGTTTTTTGTTTGATATTTTGCTGCTCAAGAAAAGATATAAATTGGAAACTAAAAATATAAACGCATAAAAACCAAACGCACAGATAAAAATGAACGCAAATATTCTCAAAAAATAAGTCTTTGATAAAAGACAAAAACAATAGGCGGACTCGACAACATAATAAACAATTTGTACACTAATTTTTAATGCGGTTAACATGTGTTCCCCCTCTCCCTCGCACACCCATGCACACACCAACGCGGTCGCTACGTGTGTGTAAGTGTAAAATAGGTGGAGCTTCATAATTTTCTCACTTGAAACGTACTGGCATGAGCGGGAAAGAGAGCGCCAGCGGAGCAAGCGAGAGAGGGCTAGCGAGGGAGAGGCCGCTTTTTTGTTGCTTCGCATTCATTTTGTATGTTAATTAGTTGCCGTTCACTCGCGTGTGCGTGTGTTGAGTATCTGTGTGAGGTGGCGTGGGTGTTTAATGAGAAGCGGGCAAGGTGCGCACATTGGTCGTTCATCGGTTGCACCTGTTGCGCTCACTCGATTGGCGGAAAAGCCCCAGGGAAAATTGGAGGCTGATAGTGTGGGAAAATGACGCAATAAGATACATGCGAGAATGAACTAGAATAGATATTTACGAAAATATATTTCCAAGTTTTGCCTGGGCTTGAAAATAATTCAACTCTTGCGATTCCTTTATTCTTCTAACATCTAAGAACTAACTCCCTGAGTTTCGTAGATCTTAATCCGCTTTCATATATATTTTTAATCCTGGCGACTGCGAGTTCCCAGCACTTCCTGTTCCCCCAGGAGTTGCCCTCATTAACCACGTAATTGACACACATCCGAATCGAAATGTATCCGAGTTCGCTGGCGAGTACCTTCAATTACCACGTCCCGCATTTCGCACTCGAGGATTTTCTTCCCAGGCTCTCGGAGGCAACACCCACTGTAAGTTCTTCATTTAAATTGGATTTGTCGATCATTTTCCGATTGCTTCTCGCTCTTGCCTCTACGACTTCAAAATTCTCACCCACCGCTGCTGGTACCCACATAAAATAGAGTTAGCTAAGTACCTTCAGTGTTTCCGCATTGACGTCATCGACGGGGAAATCAATTAATTTCACTTTACAATCGACGGATCGACGAGAAGTGGGCAAAGGACTCTGGGAAAATGCAATCCTTTTCGGGGTGTGGGCTGTAAATCTCAGATCTCCAGATGGGTCATCCCATTCCCACACTCCTGAGGATTGAATTGCATGCATGTTTCTCGTTTTTCCACATTTTTTAATTAGCAGTAAACTTTGCGCGGCCCCGAAAAACAAAAGAACCCGAAACCAATTCAATTCGAAACCGAACCGAGAAGTAATGACTGCATAAATACTTTTCCCAATGTGGTGGTTCTATATGGCATAGAAAGTGGTGTGGCGGTGGCGATGGTGCTGGCTTCGGTGGTGCAGAGTGATGCACATTTTGGGGTCGCCACAAACATCGGACTCTCGGCATCGGAATCGAAGTCTCAAGTGTCCTCTGTTCTGCGGCCGCCTTTGCCTCATTTCGTTTAACACTTTATGTGACATTTAAGTGGCGGCGGGGAAATGTCAAATTTCCTCCTCGTCCCCAAAATGCATGTACAGCGGTCTAAGCCCCATTTCCCCCCGCTATTTTTCAAGGGTTAGAACTTGATTGGGGCGGTGGCTTTAGTCAAGTGTGTGGTTCTTGTGTGGGAAGATTTTCCCCCTCGTGAAAAGTGCTCGTCGCAGGCGCAAAGTGCGATTCCTGGTTTGATTTTCGTGGAAGGCAGCGCAAACTGATTGGTTATTGTCTTGGAAATTAATGAAATAATATAAGCGGAAAGGGTTTCAGCTGCCTCTAATTTGGGCAATTAATTATATGTCTCAAATCCGTTAAACCTTTAAACTTATAATTTATTCAAATTTGATTCAATTATTCATCAAGACCATTTGATTGACTCACATTGGCAGCCTTCTTGCCTGCTTTCTTTCTCCTCCAAATCCTTTCAGTTGATCCTTGAAGTGTGCCAACAACAACTGTTATCCTTGACAACCCTAACATCATCATCATGCTAAACGTTGTCAGAGCGATCATCGTTATCTGTTTTCATAACTGTCAATTGTTGACTTTTGTTTCGAACTGCATTTGAATGTCTGTGCCCATTTTCATTCACGAAAAGAAAGGCAGCTGGAAAAGGTCCTTGCGGGAAAGAGAGGGCAGATATATTGGAAATATTTGGGCACGTGTGCGTTGTATGGCAGTGATTTTGTGGTTCGGCTTTTGTAGTCCTAAGCAGCCTAACGGTTTACCTGAACTATTGAGGGAAATACTGTAAAATAAGGGCTTGAAAATGCAGAGGAGTGAGTTTTCCGAGAGAGAGAGAGAGGGAGAGCTAAAGAGAGATCGAAATTTGCCCGCATAGTTTGGAAAACTTTACCGCTTCCCCACTCGAATCCGGTAATTTAATATTTTGTAGACCGTGTTTATTTTACGCAAAAACTGTTTGCATTGCGTTCGAGGGAAATTAAGGGAAATTGAAACAGATACTAGCGCACACGTCACAGAACTCACGCTCAGCTGAGCAAATACTTGAGTCGATTTTCGAAAAGGTTGAGGTCCTTCAAATAGATGTAACATTAGCTGCTAAAAGGTTAAACACTCCGTTGGCCAGGAAATCTTGAAAAGCTAATAAAAAATGCAAAATGAAATTGCTGCCAACTCCGCCGCTATAGAAACAATATTCAAAGTATAAAAATAATAATAAATCCCATTTGGCCGCCGGCAGCCCGTTCAATGAAAACAATAACAAACAGCCAAAGGATCAGGACACGCTCACCAACCGAAGTTTACCTTGATGCGGCCGCATCAGCGGACAAAGTGAACAAACAAATAAGCAAATGAACGCTCGCCGAAAAAGCACAATAATAATAAAATACAAAAAAATTAAGCAAGCAGCAGTGGGAAACGAGATTGCGGCACGCGTCTGGCGACCTACCACAGGACAAAGGAAAAATCCAGGACTCGCGAGCAGAGAAATCGAGCAGCAAAATCAGCGCGGTTCAGACTCCGCACAGTGGGGCCAAACCAGAAAGCAGATAGGTTTTTTATTGGGTTTAATACAAGAACCAGAAATATTAAGGAATGTAAGAGTTTGGCTAGGACTTGCCGAGAAAAGCTCGTAGTATTTGGGTATGTTTAACATACCCAAAAATATATTATTGAGTTATATTAGCTTTATCGTACTTTTAAACGTTCTAATGCTTTCAGTGCACTTCTGCATCAACCTTTGTCCACTGTAACCGACCAGCAACCAGCTAACGGGCGAAAAAAACAAGTTTCAGTCACCTTTTTTCAGTGATTGGTGGTGGATTCTTTGGTTGGCAGTCAGACAGAAGACAAAAGTCAGTCACATGTGCACATGGAACATGGGACACGGGTTTTAGAGGGATGAGGAGAGGCTTCCAGGGCTTCCACCTTTCGGCTGCTGCTGTTGTTCTTTCACCTCAATTGCAGCAGGAACTGGAATCGAGATCGCATTGTTGACATCATCGCGCGAAAAGGGACGAAATCAGAAAGCACTGTGGGGTAGTTTTCCGCCCAGGATCAGCCCTCATTTGGCCATTTGGCCTGCAGCTACCTCAGTTTGTTGTAAGTAATCGCCGTCATCATCATCATCAGCCTCATCGATGGGTGGAAAATGGCAGGGCGGGCGTCAAGGACAACTGGCGACAACATGTGCGTCATCGCAGTGGAAGCCGCCACGTTTACTCATTAGGTTTGGCCCAAAAGCGATTTTCCACGTTTTTTCTTTGGCCCGAAATGTATATATTTGCGAAATTGCGCAGGAGACTCGCCGTGGGTGCTTTCATCATCGGTGGCGTGGGAAGCGGCCCTAC